CGCCTTGGGAAATGCCACAAAACCCAGTGTGGTTTCCTATGGGGAGCACAAAAGAAGGCATTAAAATTCCAACATTATAAAATCTGATGCCACAGCAGAAACACAGTAATATTCTTCATAAATTTAAAAAGCATGTCTAAACAAATTTATGAGTCACTCCCTGGTGAGTATGCTTCCAGTGTTCTATCATTTTTTCTAAGTATCAATGACACAAATTATCCTGCATTGCACATTTAAGTTTTTAGAGCTCCCAGTGAAGCCAAAATTGTGATTTATATTTGAGAATTAAAATAAAAGGTTCATTAGATGGTAGCTTTCATTCAATTAAAATGGTGAATGTGAAGGCCTATGGATAGCTTTAGAAGAAATCATTTAAAATATATGTTTTAAAAAATTGTCAGAATTTATAGGAATGGAACAATTCTGTTTGGCTTTTCTGAGTATCATAAATTAATAAATATATGTTAGATTGGATTCGATAAGATCTCATTCAAATGATATAAAGAGAAGAAGAACAAAATAACACCTGAAAATCACTGACATAAATTCATTTGAATTGAAAGAAGTTTGAGGTGAAAAGACTAGGAGAACATTTAAGTAAACAGCAGTCCAAAATGTATGCAAAAAATATTTAAATTTATAAAAAGATTTATATTTTTGATCTTTCAATTATCATGCTGTCATTTCCATCTTAGGTGATGGCAGAGGAAACACATCCACATTGGCAAATACACAAATTCTAGCAGTCACTTTCTGGGGAGGTGTTGCTTTTGTAATGGCAAGAATATTTTATTCAATCCTTATTCTAAAATGCTACCATCTGCAGTGTTTTAGAAGTTGAGGGTAACTGATGAGAAAGAGACTAATATTTAAATGTAACAGTTTGTGTAGATTTTTTCATTTAATCTTGACAATAGCTTTGCAAAATTATATAATCGATTCCATTTCAGAATGTAAATAGGGATACCATACGTCCATGATGACCCTGGTATATTACGAATAGCTATCAATGCAGTCATTAACGGCGCAGTCACAGTCAAAAGTTCCTGGTTTCGATGATAAATTAGGTAACTATAACCATAGAAATCAGGGAACTGAGACACAGTACGTTAAAATAATTGACTAATACCATGCTCACCCTTGGCTGATTCCATATTGAAACCTAGTTATGCGTGAATACAGTCATTCTCTTTCCACTCCTCAGCCCTACGTTAAGAGTCAGCAAGATCAGCAGGGGTTTTCGGGAGAGTAATTCAAAGGTGAAGAAGTATAGCCAGTCGCAACAGGAACATCAAAGACCCTGAAATGCTACCTTAGAAAACCAGTTCTCTGGATTTTTCTGCTCCCAAGGATGTGTTCTAGTAACACTTTGACCAATGAATTCATACTAAAGTGACAATGAGTCACCAGCGAGCAGGAAAGGGAGCAGATTAAGAGAAATACTGAGTTAGGTGGTAGAGGCTGGAAAGGAAAAGAAGGGAAATAGTGGGACGGAAGCTGCCCAAAGGGACAGAAGCTCACCAGCTGGGAAGGTTAGTCTGTTTCATCACTGAAGCCTTGATGTAACACTCTAAGGGAGGAGCTTTCTGACAAAGGTTAAGGACACCACCTGATCTGGCAGAGACTGGCTGCCAGGAGTGGGCACTGTTGAACAGAGGGATGGATCAGGCACTGGGGAGAACAGAAGAGAACCAGCAGGAGCCATTCAGGCACCAAGAAAGACAAAGTCCTCATGGAAACATTGTGGTTACTCTCCCAGTTCATAGTGAATCAGCTGCTGCTCTGGGTTACATTAGTTGCGGCTGATTTTTTTCCATATTTAACACAGGAAGGGGAGAAAACATAGAAAGAGGAAAAGGAGGTGTAACTCAGGAACCCGAAAAATCAACAGGGCAACAGAGGAGAGGCATTAGTGCTTTCCAGGAGTAGCAGGACCAGACCTCTGGAGAGCAGAGCGCGGTCTGAGTACTCGCTGAGCCACCAGGGAAGCTCCCCCTCGGCCAACAGGAAGCAGAAAATGATCAAAGCAATGACGTGACCCAGCCGAGCCCTCGAGGCGTGCTGGCCATCATTAACTTCCATGGTGTATCCTCAGGGAAGGGAAGGACTGCAGTTCCTTTTGAGATACACGTGTGGACGTTAAGAGGTCTGTGCCAGCAGACTTTCCAGATGTCTGTTACACACACTCCTCCCAGAAGTGATCGTCAGTTATACGGCCTACAGATGCAATCTGTTCTCCCTGCTGGAGGAAATAAAGGATGCATAAATCCGAAACAACGCCAGACCACGACTCTCTGCCCTTGGTTTTAAGAGAGGAGATGACAGGTTCCTCACATGGGAAGAATCACCCAGAAAGCAGACCTGAAAAGATAAAAGTCAGGGAAACAGCCGGCAGTGAAGTGTCTGCTGCGCAAATGCAAGGGGCAAGGGGACGAAAGGAAGAACCTTGACTCAAACTTTCCATCCCTTTGTTGGTTCTAGTTTTGGGGGAGTCCAAATGCGGTGCTGATGCTGCATCATTCAG